GAACGCAATTAAATGTAACGCCATTTATTCTAATCTACACTAACTAGTCTACAATAATAAACAAACTCAAGGTCCATCTGACTCAGCATTTTGAAATGAGAAGATAAGATAAAATTCCACGGACTTTCTGTTTCATGTAATATACTGTGTATGTGGTGGATATAAATGGGTAGAACTTTTCAATTCTGCTTTAATACAATTGTTAGTAACATTAACAATATTAAACCAAATTAAAGCAGAGTTGAAAATATTTATTCCATTTACTTTTATATGTTTTCATAAGTTTGACATAAGTTTTTACAAAAATATTTTTTATATTTATGACTTATTTCCATGTGTTAAGATATGTTTCGAATGAATGCATTTTTATCTGATTTGCGAAAGTACCTTGATGGATTGTCTGAATTTGTGGTTAACAATGGGTACAACTCATGGATAGAAAATAATGAGATATTCATTCAAACGAAATTGTGTTCACACGATGAGACGAATTTAAAATCATTTCGATAAAGTCAACAATTTGAAGGTTGATTCGCATTGAATTACATACAAAAGGGTTAAATTGTGACCAATTGGATGCATTTTAATTTTAAACTAAATGGTGATTTAGAAATAGACTAGAAACGTTTTATTTGCAATCGTTCGTGTATTTGTGATCATTGATCAGTCATCTAGACAATTGAACACAAATATATTCACAATAATTACAATTAAGTGAGTAATTTGTGATTAAAGTGTGTATTACTTAGTAACCGGACTAATTTAATTGTTATGTCGCGCGCGCTGTATATGATTGTCGTTTCTGAACAAATGTTTAAGTTATAGTCCATCATATGATAGATGAATGATATACCATAACATTGTTTGGAATTATAAGGGAAAGGGATGATAAGCAATCAAACTTTATAATTCATAAAAACGGTTGTCTATGATTTTACCTACGTTGATTTTACCTACAATACCTAAAATATTAAAATATAAATGGTTCCGACCATCGAATCATTGCATGTGATATATGGTTGGAATCAGCTCAATGAGTAGGTTAAGAAATNGCATGTGATATATGGTTGGAATCAGCTCAATGAGTAGGTTAAGAAATTCACTTCTTAATCTGGATCAGCTAATATTCCTCCATGGTCAAAGAAGATAATTCTATTTAATTCAACTCAAGAAGATAATTTCTTAACCTACCCATTGAGCTGATTCCAACCATATATCACATGCAATGATATGATGGTCGGAACCGCTATAGATTGGTTAGGAACCCGCTATACATATGATCATTATACTGTAATTATAATTGTTTAAAACTTATAACTGGTATAAATCTTTAAAATAATCTACCATTAAAAGTTAATAAAATATTATTACAATATTATATTTTAATGATATGATTATTTATTATATTTCAATAATATGATCACAATATAATTGAGACTATAATGTTTATATAGCAATAGTTTGGGTGTATATGCAATATAATATTTTGTATATACGATATTTAGTTTGAAAAAATAAATTGATTTTGTTACTTTTTCACCTTTATTACCGTACATTCATTTAATTTGCTAATAACTTAAAAACTTAATTTCTATTTATAAATTAATAATAAGTTAGTTAGAAATTTATTTAACCAATAGATGGCTAAATGTGGTAAACAAATGCTATTAATTCAGTGAATATCTAAAGTTTGGAATTTTAGTTAAAAGTTTTATTTAAATGTCTGGAAAGGATATTGAATGTTGAATGACTGCGATATAATGTGATTTCTGGGCAACTCATTGCACATAACTATTCATTCATACATAACACTCTTTGCAGTTTTCACAGGAAACCAACCCTTTCACTGAACAGCTTATGTATGCTATATATAGTAAACCCTAAATTAAGAGTCCCAATACATAACAGTTATGCAAAATTGCATAGCAATCCACATGTACTGTATTGAATGAGCAACACATTATACGGGTTGTATACAAAAATTCAATGTAAACCCTTTCACTCTCTATTCACTCATTTAAATTAAAACTTAATTATGAGATATTATATAAACCAAACTATCATATAATATTTGGTGTATAATTGTTAACAATTAATTTTGCTTGCATATTTTATAATAATAATAATGTATACCTCACATGGCACGTTTATTAATCATAACATATATTTATGCAACACTAGTTAATATCATATTACATATTTACTAATGTCTCCATTTTGTGAAATAATTATTGTTTAAATTTTGGTATTAATTATTATGATTATAAATTACATATTTAGATACGTATGTATTTTGTGTAAGTCTACATCTTAATTTTAAAACTAATTTAATAATTCATTTTATAAAAGTTATTAATCAATTTAATAATAATAAAAACTAGTTTATGGGATAAGTTAATACAGCAACAATTTTTTAATCAGTAATAATTGTGTAGTATTTGTTATAATCATGGCTTCCGTTATAAATAAATATAAAATTTGTGATAAAATACCCGAAGATTTAAAACAACAAATCAAATACTTTTATGTTTTCCGTGACTATGAGGGACATAACATACTGTTTGTGACATTTGATGATATGGTGTATGGATTGGGATCTAATAGTGAGCGTCAGCTCGGGTTAGGACACAACACACCCATTCATACACCACAACGAGTGCCACAATTATGCTTTAAAAATATACATCAGTTTACCAATGGATATAACTTTGTATTGGCTGTCAATACGGATAATAATGTTATATTCAGTTTCGGTCTCAATAATAGGGGACAATTGGGACGGCATGTGGATATGGGTGAGAATGTATACCATAAACCGGATACTATATTATATTTCCAAACAAACAATTTAATTATTTCAAAAATAAGTTGTGGTTATAGTCACACAATTGTGTTGACATCAAATGAACAGGTATTCGGGTGGGGCAGTAATTACCGGGGACAGCTTGCTTGTGGCGATAAAAGTTGTCAAATAGATCCAGCGCCTATTGAAATTGCCATTGAATACCAAATTAGTAAAATTGCGTGCAGTGATCATACATCACTTGCCATTACCTGTGAGGGTCAGGTGCTGATATGGGGAATGGTGGATAATGATAATATAATACGAACACCAACTACATTGGAAAATGCAAATGACATACACAGTGCACTTACAGTAACTGGTTATATTAATACAAAAAATTATGACTTTTATGTATATTTGATATCCAACCATGGTCACTTACATCTATATGACTTTAGTAATAAATGTATGAACATTATATCATATGAATCAAAATATCAAATAGAGGCCTATTTCTGAAACTGAGTAATGCATTGGTTTTCACATTTACAGGTAACATAATTTTCAAAAGAGTTTTAGTCATTAGTTTATTGAGTTAATGCAAACAATTGCAGACAAATCAATTATATAACATTATTACAAAATTCAAGCTAATATAAACAAAAGCAAATACAAGCTAAAGTTCTTAATGAGTTTGTTAATTGCTGTTTATTTTTTATCTAAAAAATTATATTATTATAACTATTGGCATTATAATAAATAATTAATTTTCAATTACCGGTAGTAGCAAATATCTAAAAATATTTGAAAACTTAATAAATTTAACAATTATCATGTTTAAAACCATAGTAAAACTTTGAGTTCAATTCATAAACCATTTCATCAATTAAATCATATTAAAAATTTATTTATTTATGCAATTAATCGCTTTCAATAAGATTTCTATGTCTCCAATGATTAGAAGAGGGTTTTGAGTGTACTCTGGCCTTCGATATCAATTAGAAATTAAATAAGATTTTGTATATATATATATATACAGTATACTGTTGATATTTGGTTTTTAAAGAAAATACCAATTTATCAATCACTTAAATATTTATAAAAGAATTCATTCAAAAATGTTGATGCAATCAATCATTAAATTTTAAAATTTCAATGTCATCTGTAATATGTTTATCAAAAATTTCAAAATCTTGATTATTTATGAAAAGAGTATTTTTGCAAACTTCTTATTAATTGAAAACTCTTTATACCGTACAGTTAATAACTACAGAATATCATAGTAACATATTTCCCTTTTAACGCTTTAGACAATTTGTAAAACTCTTTTAATTTTTGTTAACAAAAAATAAGATATCTTTTAAGGGATTACAGTATGACTTCGGAAGTGCTCAACCAAAATGAGATACAATTAGTGAGAAATAGTTGGGAGACTATTAAGAAAGATGGAAAAAACTTTGGTAATCAGCTCTTCATTGAGTGAGTAATTCAATGAATATGTTGTCTTAAATATGAGAGTATTATAGTTTCAATGTTAATATGAAATTTTAATTCAATGATATTATCATTTTGTAAAGGATATGAACACTTGAATACATACATCTGTATAACTTATAACTTATAATATTACTCTATTTTTGTAGACAATTGTTTTAATAATGAATTATAAAGCAAAAAATGGTGAAAATAGATATGATATGCGATAAAGTGTTGAGTAATTTAATAGACGTTAAGTGTTTGAGCACTAAATCTAAACACTTTCGAAATTGTTTGCTCAAAAAATAATACTTTAACTAAACTTGTAATACCCTTTGTATTTATCATAATCATGTTCATAATTATAAATAAAATATTTTTAGAAGTATTTAACACTTTCTCAACCCTTTCTCAAAAGTCGTAAAATGTCTTCAACCAAAAGGCACCGGTAGTCAAGTGTCGGAAAACTTATTTTTAATAAGTTTTCGCAAATTTTCAAAGTGAAGGCTAAATAGAAATAGAAAAGACTATTAAAATGCAGACTTAAGGCAAACAATAAGCATCAGTGAATTAAGTTTCAAGTTGCTGTCTAAATGTCTAACACATTAAATATAATAATATATTCTTTGCCTGGATTAGCTTCTTCGCCAAATACCCATCATATCAGCAATACTTTAAGTCATTGGCAAACATCCCATTAAGCGAATTGAGTTCAAGTAAACGATTATTAGCGCACACGACAGGCGTTATGTATGCCATCACTGCACTCATCGACAACTTAGACGACACGGAAGTGCTCATTGAGATGCTGGTCAAGACCGGACACAACCATTTCCGGCGCAAACTTAATATACAAATGTTTAATGAGTTGGGAGTCGTCTTCATCGACCTCTTGAGGGCCACATTAGGCGCTCACGTATTGGACGGACAACTATTGAACGCCTGGAGTAAAACCTATTCCCTTATTGTCTCGCAAATTAAAACAGGATTTCAATGACTTTTTTTCACCTGAAAGACAAATACAGTATAAAATAAATACTCATTTTTCCAATCGATTCCTATTTTATACACTAATTCTTACTATTTGTCTTTCTATTGCAAATATACTGTAGTTATTTTAAGCTAGCTAATTTTTTTGTTTCAAAATAGTGCTTTTATTTCTTAATTTTATTCATATTCTCATATATACTGCATTACTAATAAAATTTTTGAAAAGAAAACCAAACTTTTGACAAAATGTTTGTAATTATTATAATAATGTTAACCGAAAAGGAAAGTTAGCAGTGGTTTGTGAGTGTAGTGCTAATGTATTGCACACCTATTGCTGATATACAGGTATAGGTAGTATAGAGATAGGGGCTATGAATACCGAAAAGATTTATTATAATGAATAACAAAAAATGATTATAAGTTTCACATATGAGGGGATGAAGTGAAGTGAAAAGAAATATATATTTTCGTTAAGAAAGGTATAAAAATGTAAAACTATAAGCGAGTACAAGTCAACGCCATTCATAGTAAAACTTATTTTATCTAGTTCAAATCGCATATCGGTGTCTTATTAATGTCTGTATTTATAGATTGATATTCTGTGTAAGTCATAAATTTTAATTACCATTGTGTTAGCGATAAAACATACAAATGATTGAAGGGATTGTAGTGATTGGGGCCTAAACTGTATGGCTGTATGTGCGAGGAGTTGTCAAAACCAGTTATCAAATGTTTGGATGAGTTTTTCGCACATATTGTAAATGCCGTACACTTTGTATTATTGAGAGGCTATCAGTGTATGCAGTGTTTCAGTGCTATTTCTCACGTTTTATAACCACATATACAGCCAATAGAAAGCTCTGCTCAGCATTATAAACATACATACAATTCACACCATTTACCACTACAAATAATCTATTTTCGCACCATTTGCAAGATTTCACCAAGATAATCCAATGAATAAAGTGCTATTAACACAGATAAATGTGCTAATTAATAGAAATGGTACCAATTATGATCTAAACAAGGAGTAAATGTGATTTAGTGTTGTACACTATAGTTCGGTGCATGTGTACAATACTCGTGAATGTTTGCCACCATTTATTGTATGCAGTGTTGAGTTAATGACTCTTTGTATGAATGCCTTGAATTGAATGGAAAACTGAGTGAACACTGGATTGCAATTAAAAGCCATCGAAACGAGCGTTGCTTTCGGTGCCAAACCATAGACCGCATGACATGAAGACGTATGCGACACACGTGTGACCGACGATGCCATCCGTGGCCACCATATGAGCCATTAGACAGACGATGTCCAGAGACGAGCGACCGATGGGTTGTGTTTTTGTAAGCGTTTTAGTGATTGTGGGGACAGTTGTGTCGGCCATCGGTGCTCATGAGTACGACCAGTCGACGGATGGACAGCCGCCCGACCCCTACCGACGCATTGAGTTCGTGTCCCAACACATGAAGCTATGGCTGCAATCGATGGTCAAAGAGGAGTTGGGCGTCACTCACGTCCAGCACATCTACGATACGCTCATGATGGACAGCCGCCCGACCCCTACCGACGCATTGAGTTCGTGTCCCAACACATGAAGCTATGGCTGCAATCGATGGTCAAAGAGGAGTTGGGCGTCACTCACGTCCAGCACATCTACGATACGCTCAATACAGTCACTCACGACATCCATTTCGATGATATCGTGCTCGACATCACACAAAAGGTATTTGCCATCAGTTGATAGTCACTTGAATGCGTTGCTAATTGTCTGTTGTGTCCATTCAGATGACGAAGAAGTTGGAGGACTTGTCGGCCGTATTGGAGGAGACATCAGAGCGCGTGAAAGAGCTCTTTCAGGTGTATCTGAATAGCGATGAAATGAAGACATTGCGGACGTGTTGTGATCAGCGGTTGTATGCAGTCATGCAATTTGATCCGCACTTCAACACACAGGTGACGAGAGCCACGTCTTGTGATACGGCGCCCAACGTGTTGTCTGACGGCTCTAATTTCGCCCCGGGAATCAATTTGACGGAACAGTTGCGATCCAATCTCGACAACTGGCCCAACATTAAGTGGCAGTACTTCATGTCCGTTTGGGGCGTTCACACCGAATACCCGGCTTATATGCCGCTGCCTAACAGTTGCCATTTCAATCAAGACATCAACGATATCAATGCCATTCGTAAGTGTTTCCCATAATTTGCTCATTTGTAGGCATTTAACGCACTTTTTGAGTCAACTATTAGATTGTGATTTATTGTAATTAAATGTGTTTTTAGTTTGAAATATAAATTGATTTTTTGTCTAATTGTGTGTGAATTGCTTGAATAGCCACTCGTATGCAATATGATGTCCCAAACGATGAATCACTTCAGAGACACCGGGATATCTATTTGGCGACAGTTCTGCCTCAACCCAAGCATATAATGCTGATCATAGACAGGGGGTCTGCCATCACTGCCCATCAGCTATCAATAGCCAAAGCCTTAGCCAAATACATACTGAACTCACTCTCACATAACGATAAAATCGGATTAATATCGCTCTCCAGTGATACCAATTACCCGAACAGTGATTCATGTCTTACGAAGCGTATGGCAAATGCCAACTATGAGACCAAATATCACTTCCAAAGGTTTATCGATGGTCTGCAGCGAACCAATGAGAATACTAACCATGTGGGAGGTCTGAAGAAGGCTTTCGAAATGATTGCCAACACCTTCCAAGACAATGGCAATGGTATGAATGTTTGATTTGATTGAGTGAAGTGTTGTCATACAAAATGTACGATTAATTTGCAGAACTAAACCAAAGTCCTTCGGAAGCGCTGATTGTGTACATAAGTCGCGGCCTATTGTCGGCTCTGACTGACGCCCGAGTTGTGATGGAACTGATAGCTAAAGAGATAAACAATAGCTATGAGAATAACTACTCGTTTGCCATAAATTCTTATGCACTGATAGACGACACCAAACCCGTTATGTATGAAATGGATTTTCTTCGAGAGATCGCAGAAATGAATTTTCCGAAGTTTAATGTCTTATCTCCCGATCCCACGAGAATAACGGTAAGCCCTAACGAATTTGCTATTTTTAGTCCTCGTACTCATTATTGACTGTTGATCTAAAGCCGGGAATTATGGTCGCCGTTAACTCGACCGAGAACTTGAGTTTCACGTTAAGTGGCATTTATTCAGTGCTCACACGACCCACACATTCATCTATTTATATATCACTTCCCTATTGGGATATCATCAGCAAAGGTATGCTTTTAATTAGTTTTTAATTAAACACTTTTTGCGATAAAACGCGTTTCTTGTGATGAGATAATGAACCGTAAAATGATATTAAATGAAATGAAACGATCGTCTGATAGAAACAAACAATTCCCACATTAATTCATTATTGGATTAATAACTGGTTTTTTATATGAACTAAAATTGAGTTTTATGTCAAACAGATGTACACATTTCTGTGAGTAAGTCAGTCATACATAGGGGACAATTGATAGGAGTGGTGGGTCTGGACATATCGCTGTCCGACCTGTCCGAAGACATAATACATTACGACGTGTCCCACGACTCGTACGCTTTCCTGATTGAGAAAAATGAAGGCATAGCTATACATCACCCGTCGTTCAGTCCTCCATCGCAACAAACCCACGAACAGCTCATCCATACAGACATCTCACATATCGAACAAAAGCCGGGCTTCCAATCGATTAAGAACTTAATACTGACGACCACTAAGGGAATGGAGACCATAGAAGTGGACCACCAGAACAAAACCCAATTAACTTACTATTGGCGTCGAGTGCACGCCTCGCCATACATTGTAGTGATTGCTTCGTATAACACGTTTGATCGCAAACATACCATAACCTCCCCTCTGGCCAAAGACGCACACTTTGCATATCATCGCTTGGATTTGAACGGAAGTCCTCCGCGACTCTGTCGGCATTTGAAACAATTGGCGACAATTGGTTTGTTAATTAGAATTGAGTTGTAATTGAGTTTCTAATGGTTTATAATTGATGTTCACAGAAACGGCTACTCTTTTCCTGTCTTCCAAAGCATTTTTATCTCCGTTTGCGAACGACATGCAGGAGGAGACCACTCATATTGTGCAGAGATATATGGCTTATCTCAACGACAACACTAAACTCATCGCTAACCCAGGATTGAAGAGCACAGTGAGGGGTGAGGTTCACGCCGTCACTCGTGTGATCCCGTTCTGGAAGTCCAAACTGGACTCGAGTGAAATGACTAAGTTTATCGTCAGGAAGTATATCACGACACCCAATGGAGTCTTCCTTCTATATCCCGGTGCTCTCATCGATAAGTCCTTTGATCCAACCCGAAGGGAATGGTATTTGAAGGCTGTTAAGAACACAGGAAAGGTTGTGTTTACGGCTCCGTACCTGGATGTAGGCGGCGCCGGCTATATAGTTACCCTCAGCCACACTATTCACGCACCCAATGCCCAGCCAAACGAGCGCTCATCCAATATAGTGGCCGTTATTGCCATGGATTTCACTTTAGGTTACTTCCATAAGTTCCTGCAGACACACATGGGCTCGCTTTGTAGGGCTGACCAAATCGCATGCTTTATTATGGACGATAGGGGTTACCTCATCGCACATCCATCACTCGTTGAGCCCATACAGTTGGCGCCTATAGAGCAGCAACATATCACACATAAGGAGCCATTAGTGGCCAACGATTTACTGCATCACAACGCCTTCGTCCAGAAGAATGTCTGCAATAGTTTTGTCGACCGAACGATTCAACGCTTCTATAATGTAATGAATGGACGCTCTGTTGATTTGAAGTGTATTTTATTTAATGTATTGTTTTCATTGTTTAGTTCAATACGAGCCTTACGGGTGTTCTCACGAATCCGATCCATGACTGCGGGAAATACTACATCACATCCGTCTCTGAGACCAATGTCTTCATTGGTGTTGTAAACCATACGTGCGATTCAATGACGGCTTTCTGTCCCTGTTCTATGGTCTGTCACTCAATGCCTTGTCTTATGTTTGAATGGATGAATAATTTGCTAATTGCTTGTATAGACGGATCGTTTGTGTCTAAACTGTCACCGAATGGAGCAAACAGACTGTGAGTGTCCCTGTGAATGTCCTCTCGAAATGAATCTCTGCACCGGACAGCTGTTTGATGAGGAGGACCACAATCCCAGTTGCCCTCCAGTTCCAGAGCCTATAAGACCCGCGCCAGTAATGAGACATACATTGGATTCAATAAAAAGTTGTTTTGAGATGAGTTGCTTCGATAAGAAGAGCGAAAAGTAATTGACAACAACTTTGCGTTTGTTTCCCATTATTCATAAATGGTCTCAATTTCAGCGACTGTTTGGGTCTATTGGGGTGCGAATGGTGTCAATTGGACCGCAACGGGGAAACGCCGCTTAAGAACCCGTATTGCAATTATCAAAGTCGATGCTTTGGTGGCATTTTGGGCGCCAAAACTCCATACGCCGATGAAATGTCGGACATGATGTCAGCCCACGACGACTATATGCCGATGGGAAGCGCACCGGTGGGTCCAGTGGCCGGCGGTATTATGATTTGCTTTGTGGTGTTAGCGCTATCGGTGTACTGCTATCGATACCACTCTACACGTCACGGCCCGCACTATATCACGTCGATTGCCGAGAATGGTGTGAATCACTCGCACTTCGACAATGAGTACGACGACAACGAACCACAGGAGGAGATAACGCCGGCCATCGCTCCGACCAATGCGGTCGTGTTGGCCAGCTTTGAGAACGCGGCCCACGTGTCCCCCTATCGCATAAACCAGGCCTACCGGCGCCCGGGCGGCGACTCTGACCACGGCTACTCGACAATGACACAGCACGAGGACTCTGAACTGGCCGGACCCACATATACGGAGCCATTACTTGTCGGCAGAGACAAGACTCGCCTCTTGAACACGAGCTCACAATCCGATGCAACCAACTCTTCGCGTACTTCCTCGCCATCACTGGTCGGACAGACGATACTCAAGAACTCGAAACCTATGCCCACAACTATACTAGAAGTGCCTAATAACGTGTTGGCTCAGGTACAGGTGCACACCGTTGACACCCATTGATTCAGGAATTGTTATTCTACAGTGTATTATGTTTTTGAATTTAGCATTTTTCAATTTCTAATATAAAGTTTATATTAGTTTGTATTGTATTTTACTCAAGGAGTGAGCATTTTATGAGTCAAAAACGCATTTTTAATAACTTTTTACTTAAACTATTTTTGAGAATTGATTTTTTCAATCAATTTATTGCTTATTGTGTTGAGATTAGACTTTTTCGATGTACTGTTCACTCGGATTATAAGCTCTTATCGACGAATTGTAAACAGTTTTAGAGATATATTATTGATCTTTAATTTTGTAAATAATGTACTCATCAATTATATTGTAAATGAAATTTTATTTATTTATTTTTATCATTTTACGACACGTCATAATTGTGAACATAATTTTTATGTCTAAATCCATTACCATTTCATGTCTTTTCATATCTATTGTTCATATGATTTCCCATTTATGGCCAAAAACTGATTACATTTTGTACTCCACTTTGAATGCAATTTATAAGACGCCAAACCATTTGTTAGAAAATATTTATTTTTACTTAATTTTATTGTAAATTTGCGAATTATTAATATAAGTGACTTAATTTTATGATAGCTTTTAAATTTTAAAACACAATCAAACTTTTATGCAATGATTTGAATGCAAATGAACGAGAAATCAATTGATTGCCAAATATGTTAAGTTTTGTTGATTGCATTTCTGCTGTATTACTACTACTCGACGAATACTGTTGTATTTAAATGTTATATAGATTTTGGTCGCAAATAAAGTTTAGTTGACGAGAGGTTTAACACTAATTTGTAAACAATTTTACATAATTTATAAGTTTTAAACTCTTAGAAAATCATTAAAATCTTAATTGAGATTCAATAAAATTATTGATTACCACCGCATTATTGTGTAACTATTCATTAAATATTAGACAAAATCAGACTTTATATCAATTTTATTGATAATGCAAATGGAGTTTTGATTGTTACATCAAAATTACAATTCATTTGTATTATTACCGTTATATTAAATAAATAATAATCAATCGCTGGATTGAACACAAAATTAGGACTCGAAAAAAGGACTTCAATAATGATTATTAATAATAATTAGATTTTTAAGTTAAAACTTGAGTGAAAAAACGGCATAAAATTGATTATTCGTAAAGATAATGTTTTGCATAAATATTGAAACAGTTTTACGAATGAGAAGCTATTGAATTGAATACTGAATACGTGAGTATGTGGTCTACCAGAAGGTATAGCCGCCACTACTGCCGCCCTCGAGGAAGGAGCCCTTCTTCTGGCCGATCACCACATTGTGGCCCTGCATTGCCGCCAATTGGGCCGCATTGGGCGCCACTCCCGGTGGGGGCGGCTGCTGTCAAACATAGACATAGATCAGGTTTCATTGATATAAGCACAGAGGGGTATGACTGACCGGAATGCCAGGCCGCGCGAGGCCATCAAAGCGAGCGCCGGCATCGAAGCCCTGCGGCATAACTACAGTACTATTTGGCGGCAAATTCTGGTACGGGTTGTATGGGTTATAGAGACCAGGGTTTTGATATGGATTCGAAGGGTAGGGATAACTGTGCGCTCCGGCAATGGATGTGTGGGGCTGTGGCACGAGTGGAGCGCCCACACCGGCGCTCGAGGTCGGCATGTATTGGTTGGGATTGTATGTCATTTGCGACATATATTTCATCTGTTGCTGCGACTGTTCCGAGTATGGCGTGTAAGGGGGCGGTGGACCCAATCCCTGAGCCATACCAGCGCCTAATGGCTGTCCCATAGGGCCGCCCATGGATTGGTACGGCTGTGGCAACCCCTGGAAGGACTGCTGCATCGACTGCTGCGGTATGTGTTGTGGCGCCGATGGGGGCCCTCCATAGAGGGGTGGATACACTTGAGGAGCGTTTCCTACCATTGAGTCACACAATGAATGCATGTTTTCATTGAATATATGAATCGATTGTGGAAAACATGGAAAGCAATGCAAATGTCGTGAGGAATGGAAACAAAGCCACGAAACAAGACAATAGACAAAGAGTTTGAACAAACCTTTCTTTTGATCCCAATTGTGATTCATTTTGTTGTCGACCTCTGTTTGTGTCCAATGAAGTGATCAGCAAATGGATGAATCTGTGGGCATATAAGACGTGTCACAATAGGCTATTGTCTGATAGGGAGGGATGTGTCCGAACGGTCAGCAAATGGTTGGCAGAAGTGATGCACTGATAGTGTCTTAAAGATGTCTGAAATGTGTTTACAGTATATGTGTTGTTGTCATGCAATCAATCGACTGTCAAATGCAATGCAAACAATCATCACATCTATTCATATATTATGTAATCTAATGTCATATTCTTTGGGGACAGATGTTCGCCACTATTCGCCCGTATATGACGTTACGACACTTCACTCATCCATTGCTCCCCACGAATGTGTTTAACACTATAGCGCTCGCAGCGAACCTGCAATGCGTTCACTGCTTCACTGCCACAGCGATCGTACGTTATATTTGAATCCGTTATCTATTGTGAGGAACGCAACACACAAACAACGATACGCTTTAAAAAGTGTACAGTTTTCACACCAAATGCTAAGTAATGCCTGTTTTGAGTGAAATCTATTTCTCGACGATTATAGTGGACTCAAAAGTGGTGCTCAAAAGTAACACAATTTACGGATCGCCTCCAATAGCGTACAAAAGGGGTAAGTGTTGTACAAAAGCGCCAAAAAATATGTAACGTTTGTGTGAAACGTATTGTGAATTGCCGTCAATTGTGCGACAAATGCATTGAAATCGCATTCAATTGTTTCAGTCATTTGTTGACAAAAACTTTGTTTCCATTCATTCGCTATTCGTTTGAATGAATCGTTTGATTATATATTCTGTGAATTGTTAACCAATTGTTTGTTTATTAATCGGTTTTTATATTTTTGGTGTCATTTGGTGTTTGCCATGAATTCATCAGACATTCAGCGGAAGCGAAAGATCGCCGAAACGGACGACAAGAGCGGGAAGAGGAGTCGCGTGGAGGCGAACGGACCCCAGAAGTCGTTACCCCAGAAGGTGTCGGACCTATGGGTCGATAAATACACGCCGGAGTCGACCAAACAGGTGATCGGACAACAGGGCGACAGGAGTTGTGTCAATAAACTACTCAAATGGCTGTCCAATTGGCACAAGAATTTGGACAAAAAGCCCGGTTTTGGCAAATTTGCGACCGAAGACGGACAGGGCTTTCGCGCGGCTCTTCTCAGTGGTCCGCCCGGCGTCGGGAAGACTACGTCCGCACATCTAGTGTGCAAAGAGTTGGCCTACGATTGGGTAGAACTGAACGCTTCCGACTCGAGGAGTAAGAAGACGTTGGAAGTGGTCGTCAAAGAGTTGCTCCAAAACACGACACTCACCGACTTCTTCAACACGGCGTCCGCCAAGACGTCCGTCACCGCCAAACACGTGGTCATTATGGATGAAGTGGACGGTATGGCCGGCAATGAGGACCGCGGAGGTGTGGCAGAGCTGATCCAATTGATAAAGGGGTCAAAAGTGCCCATAATTTGCATCTGCAATGACAGGTCGCACCCGAAGATGCGATCTCTTGTCAACTATTGCTTTGATCTGCGGTTCTCTCGGCCGCGAGTCGAGCAGATAAAGGGGCCGATGATGTCCATCGCCTTCAAGGAAGGCATTCAGATCTCACCCAACGTTTTGCATGAACTCATTGTGAGCGCCAACCAAGACATCCGACAAATACTGCATAACCTCTCGCTGTTGGGTACCGGCGCTAAAAAGATTAATAACCTGTTGTCCGATCAGTCCATTAAAGACGTCCGACTGGTATGTGACTTGAGATGAATTGTCTTGAATTTGTTGATCTTATTCACGGTTTGATTGCATTTGTAGAGCACTTTCGATGCCGTCCGCAAAGTCTACTCCAGTGGCGAAGAGTACCAGAAGATGAGTTTTGGCGACAAATCAGATCTGTTTTTCTGCGACTACTCTATTATGCCGTTATTTAACTTTGAAAACTACCCGCTCGTCAACCCCTCGAAAGCCAGGTATTGACATATTGTCTGACATTTGTCTTAAACCCATTGCCATGTTTTGCCGTTTAATTGGTTTTTATTGCTAAACATGTGTTGATTACCGATAGAAACGAAACCCAACGCCTGAAATGTGCGACAAAAGCGATCGAAGCGATGGCTTTCGGCGATTTGATTGAGAAACAGATTCGCGGAACCAATAACTGGAGTCTACTTCCACTTCAGGCGGCGTTCGCCAGTGTTATGCCCGGCGCTTACATGAACGGCCACTTCGGCGGACAGATACAGTTCCCGTCGTTTATGGGGAAAATGTCGACGACTAACAAAAAGAATCGTTTACTACAAGAACTCAAAATGCATATGAATTTGAAAGTCAGTGGAAGTAAGACTGCCTTAAATCTGGATTATTTGGAGCCATTGAGAGACGCTATAATCGAGCCGTTGGTGGCCAATGGACAGGGAGGTATACCCAACACTATTGAGACGCTCGAGAATTATTGTTTGCGACGCGAAGACCTCGAGTCCATAATCGAGTTGACCCTTTGGAACCACCAAAAGGATCCCATGAGTCGAGTGGACAGTAAAGTGAAGGCTGCGCTCACCCGGGCCTACAATAAAGAGGGCTTTTGTTTGCCGTACTCTTTGGGAACCATTACGAAGGGAAAGAAAGGCAAAAGTGCTGTCGATTTGAATGATGTTGAGGGCGAAGACGGCGATAATGGATCTGATATTGAAGACAATGAAGAAGTGGATGACATAGCAATCGACGCTATGATTAAGGCTAAGAAGACTAAAGCGACTAAAAAGAGTGTTGAAAAAGAGTCGAAAACTAAAGCAAAAACGAATAAATCAAAGAAATCTGAATCAGAAAAGGAAAAGAAACCGAAAAAACAAATAAAAGTTAGACTCGAAAGTGATTCCGAATGCGAGCCAATCATTTCACCTAAAAAGGCATCAAAAAAGGAGATTAAAAATGAGAAAAAGAGTGAACAGACAAACGGCACGAACGGCACAACCAAACCTCGTAGAGAATCGCCTAAAAAGAGTCCACAAAAGGCGGCCAAAAGTGGTGATAAAACTAAGAAAATAGTGGCCAAAAGTCCCCCAAAGGAGTCAGAGGTGAGAAGATCGCCGCGAAAGTCGTCTAAACCTGAAACTAAAAGTGAGTCGAAAAGTACCCCCAAAAAGGCAGCGAAAAGTCCGACAAAATCCGAACAAACAAACGGACAAAAGAGTAAAACTAAAAGCGAACCAAAATCCGAGACTAAGAGTGAAAGCAAACCGCGAAAAACACCCGAAACTAAGACATCAAAAACAAATTCTGCGTCAAAAGGGAAACAATTAACCATCAGTTCGTTCTTCACTAAAAAATAATTTATAATTTTTAGAAATGTTTTAATGTTTTTGTTATAAATAATTTCATTAAAATAAACACAAATTATACGAATTAAATGTGTTGTTTGGCTTAATATATGGCAATTGTGTCTAAAGAAGTGCTAATACTGTACTCAATGGAAAGCTATGTCTACTCTGGACTCCAATAGTCGGCCACGTCTTCGAACCTGACGTGAACCAGAAGAGAGGCCGGACTTATGGGCCGATTCTCACTGTCCACTAAATTGATGGTACGGTAGCCTAAATACCATATAATAATTTACTTTGTGATGTAATTGTTTGAAACCATACCTTTCATAATAGCTCTGAATGCGAGCATATACTGTCCGAGGACTGCATTCTTTCCAGTATTTGACTGATCCTTAACCGCAAAAGAAATGAAAGCCATTTCCGGCAAACGAATAATAAATTCACACGATTGCTCCCAAATGGGATTGAAACCTAAAATGGTGTCAAACATTCAAACTAAGCAATGTCTTATTGAAAATGTTTAAATAAAACCGTTATTCTTGACGGAGTCTGTCTTGAACTCAAAAGAATCGGCCGAATGTCCATAAACTTTAAGCTTAACGTACGGATCAATGATCTCTCCCTCGAATGAATTGCCGGGTTTGGGAATACACTGTCCGCTAATGATTGTAATCCAAACTTTCTTCACTTTTCCTGTCGGAGAGTTAACGACCGAAGTCTTACCACTCACTCCGTATTCTTTGCCTTTTCTAAGATACTCTGACTTCAAAATATAACCGCATTTGCCGTTCATCGCGAACAGGGCTTCGTTGAAAAGCATGGGTTTATCGCAGGTTTGGTAGTTGAGTGCCACCAGCTGCGCGCCTACATTCCAGTGCGTTATGGGGTTGTAGTTACTTGAATCAGTTCGGGTGCCCTTCGGATACACGCGAACCAAATGTTTTCTCGTGAAGTTGACGTACGGAAACTTACTCTTGACCGTCGACGCCGCCTCACCCCCTGTCTCAGCCGTGTCTTCGTCCGAGTCATCATTTTTGGCTGAATTTGAGTTCAAATTTTAGAATAAATTATTTCAAAATAAGATTTTTTTCAATTACTTTTGTTTTTGGAGAGACTTTCAGATTTTGTTTCCTCCAAAGACACCATTTCGTAATATTTCCCTAATTTATAAATCATACAAATTATTGAACAAGCTATTTTTGTTTGTCACAAATGTGGTGTACCGTACATTTTTTCTTATTCAAACAGTCATCAAATGATACAAACTTCTTGGCCGCACAGTAATTGACTAAATCTGAGAATTCTTTCGCTAATTTGTACTGAAACCAAGAAATCGATTCAATATTTATATGAAATTATATTTTTCAAATCAAACAATTCAATTAAAAAATACTTTTTTTGATGCATTAATTTCATCAGCAGTTGGTTTTGGTGGAACTGATACCGTGTGTCCGAGTTTGTTGTGATTATCACTATTAGATGCATCTGTTCTCACATTTTTGTTAAAATTCTTTGGTATAGTTAACGGGAATGTATTGGTTCTCTGCATACTATGGTCTTTAGACTTCTCTTTATTCTCTGTATTATTAGTATTCTGTGTCTTATTCTCTGTCTTACTCTGTGATGTATTTTCTGCATTTGTCTCTATATTTGCATCATTGGCTTCAACTGTAATCTCATTGTCACTCATCTCGTCGTCTGACTCATCGCCTTCGTCTTCCTCCTCATCATCTCTCGCATCTGATTCTTCAGATTCCGATTCTTTGATTGGATTCAAATCTAACGCTTTCTTTAATTTAATTAATTTCTTTGGTTTAAGTTGTGGTAGTTTTTTGCCTTTAATGAGAATTTTTCGCACTAAAGCCTCGGGTGAAGGCAAGTGACTCTTATTCTTGTCGACTGGAGTTACATATAAATAATCTGTATTTTAAAAAGATTATCAGTTTATATGAAGCCATTTTTACGGTAATATCAATGAATTGGTAACCTTGTAAGATGTCCCTCATGAGTTCAGCCATTTTTATTTGCTGTTCAATAGACAAGTGATTTTCCATCGAAAGGATAATCGGGTATTGACTCGTTTTAAATGCATATTTATGTATAGTCTTGAGGACATCTCGCAATGTGATTTTCGTAGTCAAAGTGTATCCGTGATATATAATGGGCTCTCCATCGTCGCCGTCCCAGACATCGAGTTCAAGACAACGACACCCTCTGATCAGAGCCAACCGATACGCTTCTATACTACTGCTTCCCGTCAACTGACCCATCATTAAGTAACTATATTTACATCATATAACAGTTATTCATTATTTTTGTCGTTTAAATCAAGCGTTTTATTAATTATACGTATTATGAGAGGAAGCGATGTAGTAATCGGAAAGTGGTTGAGACATGTCTTCACATACAACGCGATGACTTCTATTAAAAATGTCAAAATCTATTGATTTGAATAATTTGCAGAATCCTTTGATCGATAAATAGCCTGGGTTATCATTTTCTTTTGGTTCATATCTCTGTATATATGCTTCACAATCAGCTAAAGTTGTTTTCTTCATCTATTTTGAGAAACAAAATATAATTTCCATTTTAATCTCAATCATTTCAATTCATATTTTCATACTTTCTGTTCATCTACTAAAAAGTCTCTGAGCTCTTCGGGACCCATAATACAAGTGCTGTTCACTGAATACCTTTAATAAAAAATAATTAAGTACTTTATTACAAGTTAAATCAATTGCATACAAACTTTCGAAATAATTTCTCCAATTCTAGTCTTTGGTTAAGCAACTGATAGAATACAAGGAACTCCTCCCGATCTAAGGTATCCTCTTTCAGTTCTCTTAAATTCATTTTATGTTTATGGATGTGAGCCATCTGTCAACACATTCATTGCAATCAATCATTTCAATTAATTTCTATTTAAATCAATTGATAACAAACAAACTCACATTAAACAGTGCTTTTGCGTGCTTTTCATTCATTAAGATATTCATGTGATTCAAAAGAGTAATCACTTCATCAAAACTTAAGCTCTTGTTATTATTCTTGTCGGCCTCTCGGAACTGCTTATTAAGCCAACTGTCAAAATGATATACAAATTGACATGTCTTTGAAATTTAAGTTAAAAATTTTTATAACAAATCATACACTGTTTGCTCATCATTGACCAGTTGATCCTTATAACTAGCGATTAAGAAACTAAGTCCTTTAACCCAAGTATCCCTTATCTCAGGATTAGGTGCCACTAAGTCCTCGGTTTTCATGCCGTTGTCGAACACAAGAGAGAAGCAGTTCTCCTCTTCGAGTTGCGGCAAATTCTTGGGTCCAATCGAGGCGTGAAGTTTGCGTCGAAATTTGGCGTCGATTACATTAAAGCGATCCGATTCCCAACCCTTCCTTACTTCTGACAAATCGCACAAATCAACTGAAATACAAAACCTTTTAGTTTAGAAACATGACATTTAAAACTGATTTGACTCACTATAGGGTACATCTCTGCACATGAAGCTCTTGATGGAGGGCTCGTAATGGAGTTGCATTGTATTGAAATCAATGAAATAGTTGCGACAAATAAACTTATCCAAAGACCGCACCTTATGAAAGGACGTCTTCTCCTTCAACCGGGCGATCGCCTCTTCATTGGGAATATTCTCCTCTTTTATGCAAACATTATATTCATTTCATTAGTTAAACATTTGTCATATATTTTTAACATATAAATTGGATCTAAATTTAATTTTGTTTCAATTTAATAGCAATGAAAGTATACAAACTAGTACATATTCTCATGTCGTTAAACTTAAAAATTGGTAAAACAAATACTATACAAACCATTGAAGATATCTCTGAAACTTTTAGCACTTTTAGGCCGAAATCGACTCTTTCTATTCGCTGTGGCTATTGGAGTGAATGAAAGTTAATTCACATTACTATATAGAGTTGTATTATGGGACACATTATTATGAATTGACCAAACATTCAAACCTAATTATTTAATTAAACTTATACGAAACTAAATTAATCGTAATTCTACATAATGAGTTTATACTCGGCGCTTGATCTTATGAACCACGATGTTTTTCAAAAAAGTTCATAATATCGAGCGGTTCATAAAACCGAATATTGAAAAAAGAAGTATGAAAATAAGCCAATATTATTTTGCCTGGTCAAATTAAACACTTCGATATTTAAATAAGTATTTCATAAGTTTATTATTTTTTTTTGACCTAGATAAATGATTTTATCAATAATAACTTTAAAATCAAAATATTTTTCAACCGCTAGAAGGAGTTAAAGTCAAATATATTTATAAATAATCAAGAATTTTTAAATGTCTGATCAAAATAAACTAGGGCTTTCATATTAAGGGTTTTATTAAATTTGAAAAGTGACTCTTATGAAAGAGTATATATTTAAGTAAAATTATAAATTACTTTATATAATTTATAAATAATTTATTATTTTAATTTTTCTAATTTTAGTTTTATATTTTAAATTTTGGCTATTTTGTAAATATAACACTACTTAATCATATGATATTATAAATGTACATTCAATAAATAGTAAAAGTATATTTTACAAAAAATTAGCCATTCAATTACATTTCATTATACAAAGGAATTTGGTTTTCCAAAATATGCATTAGCCCCACTGTAATCCTGTGTATTTTTAATGAATTTATAATAACTATTAAATATTAAGCTATCAATGGAAAAACAATTTTCTATTTAGTAATTTGAAATACTTAGGGCATTTACTGACATACTCCTTTATTCATAAATTAAAAGTTGTAATTAATTTTATGAAAAATCATTAGTATATAAAAAAAATTAGTTTTTGTGAGTTATTTTAGTGTTAGTTTTCAGCCATAAGTTATTTCTGTGATTTACAAGATATTTCAATTTTTATAAAATATAAGTTCATAAAATCCAATGGGTTTAACATAGATTTATATTCATTTGTACTTTCAAATTGGTTCATAATATACAGC